CCGACACGCAAGAGTTTGTGCTTTCCCCACATTTGGCATCATGTGTCCTTAAATTAAGCCTGTTCCCAGCTGTTGTTTCCTGAGCCGCCTATCCACAACCACCAAACAAACGCTGAAACTGCTCCGAATGATGGTAAGATCATATCTTGTCTTCGTCTATTTAGAGCAGGTACCTTAATCCTGAGGCCTACGGGTTACCAAGATTCATGAGGGGCAGGAACCTTACCGTAAGCTTTTGGGGTCGTGTCCCACGGCTTTGCCACCTGCTCGAGCAGCAACAGTAAAACTTGCTGATCCTATAGCCTAGAGAAACCTAAACCCCCAAATCTACGAAACTCCGAAGTCATTCAAAACAGTAAACCTGAAACTCCTAGGCCCTCGCTCCTAAACCTTGCCTCTAGACTCCTAACCTTCTGGCCCTAAGCCCTCGCTCCTAAATCCCTTGGTCCAGGCGCAGCTCCAGGGGCGCGCAAACAAGTTCTGCACGGCCTCGAATTTGGAGTTTTAGCGGCTCAGAAGAAGGGTTAAATGCTTATGGGTCTGGGTTTAAGCGTTTAGTTTAAGCTCCAGGGCTACGGGGTTTGAGGACTAAGACCCAGAAAGAGAGGGCTTGGAGTTTTTATCGGTGCTTTATGTAGGGTTTTGGTGTATATTGAGCTAGGGGTCGGACTCGGGCTTGAGGCTGACGGATTCAGGGTCTGCGGGATGAGGGCTTGTGGTTGAGTTGGGGGTCTATGGCGCAGGGTTTCAGGCACGAGGGAGTCTCATGTAGGATCTCAGCCCCTGTAAGTCTGGGAACCCAGACCCTCCAGAAGGTTTCGGGCTTTGTTGGCGCGGCAATGCATGTGGCAACAAGTCTTGCTGAAATCCGGAGCATCAGATTGAGGTTATCGAAGTTATCGAGCAACTTACCCGAAGTGTGCAGGGCTGTAACATGGATAACTACCGCTCTATGATGATCAAAGGTAACGGTAATTTCATGAAGCAGCGCTGTAGACTGTAGCTCGCGACTGAGATACCTTGCCTAGATTCAAGCCACGGAAAGCAGAGCGATCCCAGAGCGATGTAAAGGATGACCGCGCTTCGGATGCTTTGAGCTTGGCAGAGAAGCCGGGGCGAGGGGCAGGTGTGGTCGGCTCTTTTCGGACACTTTCGGGAAAGGGCTTAGCTCCCAACCTTGCCTTCAACCCCTGAAAATCGAAGGCTAATTCTAGCTTTCAAAATGCCGAAGCTCGGACGTTCAGGCCCTGCATGTCCACTGCCCAGCAGTAGATACAATGTGATCTGCATGACCCTAGACGGTGTAGCCTGCCTCCTTAACGTCCTAACCCAGAAACCCTAAACCCTTTCCAGCCGGAAGCCCGCATCAAAAAGAACGGATGCAATCTATCCCCGCATTCGTGAGTAGAGAATGCCCTCATGTTTCAGGGTTTCAATACCTGAAGGAAACGTCTCGGGCTCCGCAGTTAGACCCTACCCACCATGCCTGGCAGGCACAGCACCTTCTCAAACTTCCGCTTGGCCACATCCATGCCGGCCTTTTCTTCGGGAAGGTTCTTTTCAACAGCCCAAATCATTCAACCCACTGAAACCTGAAACATAAGCTTTAAACCCGCAGGGGTCTTGGGAGGCGTTCGAGCCTTGCCGACTAAACCCAACAAGCCAAACTAAAGAGTCCCTCATCGCCTCCCAAAGAGCAGAGAACGAACACGTCATGTAGGCGGATTCTCCGAATTAGGGTGTAGGGTCCAAGGTCTGGTGTTCGGATTTGTCTTGGTGTGCTATGTAAGCTTTGGAAAGTACCTATGGAGGAGCCTCAACAGAACAAGCCATTGGACTAGACTTCGGTTAAGCTGCAAAAACGAGACCCGTGCTTCATTCTACATATTAAGACCGCTCCTCCCGCTAACACTGAGGGTAACGGTCGTGACAGCAATAGACCTTCGAGCAGGCATGTGTGTCGTTCGGAGTTGGCATTTTGTGGAGTGGGTACTAGGGCCTTACTAGGGCCCAAAGTTCTGGCTGACACCCATGCCTGGCCCATGCCTGCTTCCGAGACACCTTCATGGTGGCCACAAGACGCTCGCCAAGTAAGTCGTCCGAAAGCCGATCACACCTCGTCTGACGAAAGCGAAAAGCAACCCAAAGCGCCCTTTCATGCAGGTTTTTGAAAGACCGGACCTCTTTCATGAACGAACCTTATTTCAAGGGGATGTTTCGTGTATTCTGAACAGTTTGAGCGTCATGCTTTGCTGAAGGCGAGCTGGTGCTCCGATTACATGGCTTGAATCTGTCATGTTTCATGATCAGATGATTGAGCAGTGAGGTCTGCTTTGAAGGGCTTACACTTAGTTTTAGGTCGATTGAAGGATTCGCATTGCAGTCAAGCCTCTCTGCATTTCTGTGCCCGAGACCAGAGTAAACAACCTGCTTGCTTGTATCCGACCCGACCCCGCCATATCAGCTGCAGGGCTTCAAACGTTGACGTTGAAGCCCTGCCGACACCCTATATGCCATCGCTCCGTCAAGTGTCCTGTTGAGGCTTCAGCGGGATGCAGGAGGGGCTTGAGTGTGGGCATGCTTCTGTCGCGAAGGCCAGGCATTGCTTGCTCTTTCTGTATCACTTTCTTCCTCAAGAATGGCCAGTTCAGCCACTCCGGAAGCGGCACCGTTGCTGCCCCACAGAGAGGGGATCGATAAAAACACACAGCGTCTTAGCTTCATGTGCTTTCGTGGGTCTATGGATGTGGCTATTTGCTCTCTGAGGCACACCAGTAGGCAAGTTGCCGTCTCTTGGGAATGCGGATGAGCAAAGGCGGCAGCAGGAATCGCGAAACCTGGCAAGGGTTTTGTGGTTCAGGGTGTTTCCGAAGGGCGGCCATCCCATGCCGTTCAAAAGCAAAGGGTGTCCGTTACGAGGACCTCAGATGCGCTAGGCGTGCACGCAAACGACCGACGGTAGCGAGACCTAGACAATCAACTGCATGCGCATGCAAGCACATGTGTCCGCACATGCATATCTCTTCAGAATCTCAGTTTCGTTTGGCAGCGAAGCATAAGTTTGGGATCACGGTCCAAGATGCTCAAACGAACGGCTAGATGACTCTAAGCAGAGTTGTGGCGTGGCTGAACGCCCAAGGTCAGAAGAAGGACGGGCACCTGACCTTGTCTAGTACATCAACCTGTAAACTCAGGCATGAACGAAATGAGCCCGGAGTGATTGCCCGCGGGGAAGATGGAAGCTGGGCTCAAGCCAAGTCGCAGAAGGTCGACAGGCTCAATCAACAATGCAACGGAACCAGAACAACTGAACTCTCCCTGCAACCCCAATGATCGCTAAATTCCCCAGAAATGATTTCATATGTGGCCTGTATCCAGCTGGCCCGACGACTGAACCGCCGTGGCTTTGTGGTCCTGCTCCATCTGGGCTCAAGGTCAAGGTACCCCAGGGCCACCGCGCAATGTAGCGGCCTTGATATTTAGAATAGGGTTTTGGGGTATATATTATTTATACTATAGTTATAAGAAGGAACCTCCGAAATAGTATAGTATAGGTATAGCTTTCAATGCTAAACCCACTTTTCCCTCGGAGGATCGATTTCTGTTCAACGTGGAAGCCCGAACCCAAAGGTGCGTGAGACATCTACTAATCAGGTGCGTGCTGTAGGCTAAAAGCTGAAAGCCTTCGGAAGCTCCTGCGAGTCTCTGCGACGGTTCAACGTCCAAGCACAAGGCCGACCCGCAACAATCGTAGCACCACACACCCGAAGACTTGCCCTGCACCCTCCACCCCATAGTGTCCAGCAGCGAGTCTGCGGCGGCAGCCAAGCAAGGTGAGGGCTCAACTAATGCCAAGGAGGCGGCGACCTGCATTTTGGGGAGAAAAGGCCCTGTGCTTTCCAAGCTGGATTTTGCGTTACTTGGGTCTATAATCAAAACGTTCTGGAGTGCGGCTCTCGTGCCTACGGCGTTTAGGGGGTGGGCGAGGGCCGGGCGGCGTGGGTGAAGGGCAGAGGAGGGTTTTAGGAGTCAGGGTTTTGGCGGCTCGCGAATTCCCTGGGAGCCCCGATAGCTTGAACAAACAATCTTCACGTACTCAGGGACCTTCACCATGCTTTAAGAAACATCCCTGGCAGTTTAAGCATCGAGGTTGCCTGGAACACCAAAAGGTCACTGCAGTTCGCAACTCCAAACCTTAAGACCTAAAGCCTTGAATCCAACACCCTAAACCTAAAGCCCTACAGACCTCAAGTCCTAAATCCTTCAACGATTCAACCGGAACTCCCAAAAGCCTAGACTCCAAAAGCCTGGGGCAAGCCCCTACGACCTTGAGCCGACGATCCGGATCAGATTTCGAGGCTTGAGGCCAACCTCGGCTTCGCGGAGAGCCCGAGAAGCTGCGAGTGATCCGGCACCGAGGATCACGACCTTGAGCTTGGGTTTCGATAGCTTCGATAAGGTTTGGGATGAACGCGTTTTGGGGAATTTGGGCTTAGGATTTCCGATTTTGAGGCTTGCCGATGTTGAAAGGAAATCTGCCTCAAAGCTGCAGGATGATGTCCAGTCGTTTTTATAGGCTGAAGCAAGAAACATCCTAAGCCCTAAACTAATTCATCAGACAGGTTCCGAGACGTCACACCTCCATTTCCACAGCCGGACCGAGCTGCACGCGACCTGCCTGGATCCCCACCTTGAGCTTTCCTTCAGTACCGGGCCTTTGTAGCTTTAAGGTATGGGGTCTTAGTCGGGAAAGGTGGGTTGGGTTTTTTCGTCTTTTCTGGGTCGTAGCAGACAGGGATTCAGCGATTTGAGAGTCTAATGCGGGAACCTGATCAACCTTAGCGCCCCCCTCAACATGCATTCTGCTTTGTGGTGGGTTTTCAAGCAGGAGTTCCTCAATGAGGTTGTAGCTTTTGGGTTGGGTTTCGAGGTCTGACTCGAGGTCTTCCCCTGAAGCCCGAACTTTAAGCAAAAGCCCTCAGACCTTTTCGTGAGTTCCTTCACACGGTGGTCTGAGTGAAAGCTTCCCTCTGCTGGTAGATGCCTTGAAGATCGACATGTTGCAAGTGCAGCATCTTATTCATTGCATCGACCTTGAAACAGTTGATGTAGCACCAGTGCAAGCCATGCTTAGCATCAGTCAGCGTGTTGTATGCGACATCTGGAACATGTTGAAAGCGGTTGTAGTTGGAGAAGCCAAAAAAGCCCAGCCGCTCGATGGCGATCTCCAAGCGTCGATCGAGAGGGATGACTGTCAGGCAGCCCTGAAACAGCTCAAGTGCTGTTGAGCATCGGGGGGGCAGACCCGTCGCCGTTGGTAGCGAACAGCTGCAGCACCTGCTAAAGGCGCCAGGATCGACTTTGCGGATTTCTGCTCTGATGTTGACGACTTCGGTGCGTCCAGGATGAGCATAGAACGCAGACCAATGCATCATCATGCCATACACGGACATGTCAGACAGCTCATAAAACCCGAAAACTGAAGCAGGCAGACCTGTTGAATTTGCCAAGAAGTCCAGCCACTCTGCTGTTACGGTACGGTCATAGTACCACCATTGGTCCACGTTGTGAAAGACTTTCTTCCACCGTCCAGGCGTCCAGACTGACAGCGCATCGTCGTTCTTAAAGCGCATGCCATTCCTTCTGTGGTGCTGTTTATGGAAAGCTGAACGGAGACTATCTCTGAAGCACAGCCGAGTTGCGTTTGGTTTGTCATCATGATGGCACAGGCTTGGTCCGTCCCATCGTCAGCCGCCACATCAGCACAGTCTGGCTCATCGTGCCAAGTGCTCACGACGATTCTCGGGGATCTGGAGTTCAAAGCCAGATGCTCCGTGAGGTTGTGCTTTCGGGAAAGGCAGAGACTCGGCATCAGAAACCCAATATGTCTGACACTCAGCAGGTCCGTAAGCCACGCCATAAAACTTCTTCACGGCCTGGTAAATATGCCCAGCCGACTTGGCCAAGCAACCAAACCTCTCCTTTCTGTATTTAAAGGTTTGCTGGCGGATATTGCAAACGCAGCCTTCTCTTTAGCTTCGCATGTGCTGCGGAGCCCAGCAAGTCCTCCAGCAGCAGAGGGTGGAAGTCGTCGGAACAGCTGGCCCTGTGCCTTGAGCAGAAGTCTTCATACTCCACATCATCTCCAAACACTACGACCGACTTCACGGGCGGGCCAGTGTTTGTTCGCTTGACCATCTCCATTCGTGCGGCGAGGGCACGGAAATGAGGCGGATATACTGGCACAAGCATACAGACGGAGCTGCTTGAAGGAGGTGGTGTCCTCAAAGCGGGCTTCTTCTGGACTTGGCTTGGAACCAAAGCAGATTTTGGCAACGGCAGCTTCATGCAGCCCACCACGAAATGGAAGTCATCTGCTGGGTTGTCGCGAAACTCTACTAATCCCGGCTTTCCTTGTTCAGGTTGACAGCCCTGTGCCCGAAACCTTACAAACCAAATCACTGTGATGATTAGGTTTAGGGTTTGGGTCGATACATGAAGCAAGAGAATGTGTAAACACCCTCGTATTCCGGCCTCCACCCTCAAAGCAGCCGTAGCCCCTGGAAGTCAAGTATCGCGCCAGAGTCGCATATCGAGCTTTCGTCTGCCGAACCACAATTTGGTCCTGTGTACTCAACAAGCCACCTAAGCTTTACGGTTCAGGGGTGGGTTTAGGAGCCACCCACAAGCTTCAGCGAAGGTGAAAAGTTCCGGGGTACCCGCGCATGAGGACTTCGCTCTCTGGCATTTAAAGACTTCGGCGGTGTTGCTTGGTCGGGAACCTGACCTAAAGGACTCAACCTTGCAGTACGCAAGATCCGCAAACGAAAACCGGCAGGAGTGACAGTGAACGTGCTAACACCCGGCGTCCAAAGCCAAAATAGGGCGATTCTCAAATATGCCCTATTCCGGGAGATGCCCGCCTTGGTGTGTGGCGGGGGCTGTTCAGCTGTCTTCTAGGTTGCAGCTCCTCCCTAGGCTCCCAAATTACTGCTCATGCTCCTTTATCTGCGGCGAAGACTAAGTGCACCCGAGGGTCAATCTTGGTGTCCCCGGCTAACCAACCCTGATGCGTCGCAATTTCGCATCCATTGCAACTGACCTTAAGTAGCTTGATCGTCCTGCCGGTGTGCCCCAGTTTCTGCATCAGGACTCTGATGTTGTTGCTTGCATCTAGTGGCATCGCATGGTACGTCACAAAGTCCGGAACCGGATCATGAGGATAGCCAGGAACGTACGTTTTTGAGAGGTACTTCTCGATCGGGTGTGCATCGAAGACGTGGATTTCACACTTGTCAGAAATCTCCTTGTAGACAGCCCTCTCGAAAGAGAACTCCCCATCGCTGCCCACAGAGTACACCAAGCAGCCTGCTGGGCTTTCTGCTGCATCTCTCAAACCACGGGAATCGCAGATCGTGCACCCGCCCTCTCCATCACGAAGTTTACCACCCTGCCCGTTTCTGTAGCCTCCATAGAACCTGATATCCAGACCGTAAGCCAAACAAAGGCCAGATACGCAGGGACTACATAAGGGGTTACTCTTACCAACTTTGCGATACTCTTACCAACTTTTCAGATCCCTATATTATCAGATCCGACCAGGACCAGGGCCAAAAGCCCTAAATTCTGAAGCCCAGGCGCTGTGCAGATGGGCACTCGATGTTGAACAGCTGTGGGCTTGGTGTCGTTGAGGCCGGTGGTACTATAGGGGCCTAAATACTTGGACCAGGGTTCTGCGGTGTAACCTAGTACAAGTGTATAGGGGTTGTACAAGAAGATTTTACTACAAATTATTCCGACCTGTAGACGGAGCCCACAAGCTCAGTGCTTTGGGCGCTGACCACCAGACGGCCTCCAGAATGTAGGGTTGAGGAAGAGCGATTGTTCGGGTATGGACATTAGGGTTGCAAGTGAGTCCAAGCGAAACTTGTCTTCTGATGGATTTAGCAGGTTGCTGGCATCGTCGACTCCTCTGTAACGATGGACGCGGCGTGCTGCGACGGCACCCGAAGCTTTAGAAAGCCAGAGACAGAATCGAACATCCAAACATGTAACCTGCAGTCGAACGGCAGCAGCTATCGGCTATCGGTATCAGGGCGAAAAACTGACAACTGAAACCCTAACTAACATCCGTAAAGCTCATGACAGAAAACAAAAGCTGATGTCGAATGCACAACCCTAATCCCCTCAGGCCGCAAACAGCAAAACAATCAAGAGCTGCATTGCACCGCGGAGCGCGATGCACATACATGCAAACAGCACGCAGAGCAGACATCTTCTCGACACCATCGGCTCTTGGAAGAAGGCACTACCATTATGCATCACTGTGCAGAGTTCGCATAGTCATTGCTCCTGTCATTTCCACTACTAGCATTGCTACTGGTACTACTGCGAGTTCTACAGCTTCTGCTGCAGCTGCTATGCTGTTGCCGCTGCTGCAACTCCTGCTTCACTGCTGCTGCTGCTGCTACTACT